GGAGCAGCGCCCAGCGTTGGCCCAGCCCGGCCGAGGCGTCCATGCCCCAGGCTGGCCTGGGAGCCCTCTCCAGCCATTGGATGGGGGCCGACCTGGGTCCACACCCCACCCAGAGCCCCCCAAGGGACCGGGAGGCGTCTTCACAATCACCCATGTTTCAGGCTGGCTTGAGAAGCTTCCAGAGCCCTGGCCTGAGCCGGGTGACAGGCACCCAATCCAGGCTTCCAGTGCTGCCCTCATAAAGCAAGTAGCCCAAGGAGCTAGGGGGCGCGGTGGGTGTGCAGCCTCAGGTCAGAGGCAGAAGAGCAGCCAGGCCCTCCGGGGGACAGTGGGCACCTCACGTCAGAGCCACTGCTAAGCCAGATGGACACCTACCATGAGCCAGGCCCAGAGCCAGCACTCTGACTGTGAGCCCATTTCACAGACAGGAGACCGAGGTGCACCAGAGCACAGCCCTGCCCAGACTCCGCCAGCCAGGGGCCAGGGCTCAGGGGCTCTGCAACCCCACCATGGCCTGGGCGCATGCCTCAGCTCCCTGCCAAGGTACCATGGCAGCTGTGGGCAGAGCTGCAGTTCACCCACCCACAGGCCAGGGATGCCACTCTGCCCACCTGCCAGAAAGGGGCAGCGAGCTGAGGCCAACGCAGGCCACTTTGCCCTGTTCCCAAGAGTCGGCTCTGCCTTGATGTCCCCGGCAGCACCTCTGTCACTTTTGCTCCCCTGAGAAGAACCAGGGTAAGTGCCGCCCCGGGGAAGCTGGAGGAAAAGGAAATCAGGGGTACAGAGGCACCCCAGGACTCTGCCTAAATCCACCTGTCCTGGGGTCCTGGGCTGCCCCCGGGGTCCGCCTCTGGGCCTCGGTTGGCTCACCTGTGAAGTGGGCCCCTGTGGTCCAGCTCACAGTCTGCAGGAACTGGCCAGGTCTGCAGGTCCCAGAGCAGAAGGAGCTGCCTCCCCTTCCCTTGGCCCACCCCTGCCCCCTCCTGCTGCCCCCTCCTGCTGCCTCCCGGTACAGAGCTGGCCCTGCGGCTCCAGCTCCCCCAGGATCGATGGCAGGATCAATGTTCCTCCCTGCCCCTGTGGCTCCTCCCGCCTTCCCTCAGGGCCCTGGCCTGCTCTCCCAGCCTGGCTCTCATAGGGGAGTGCTGGACACATCTTGGTGACCCCCTGTCACAAGCCCTCTGAGCACTTACCAGGTGTCCTAGCTCCATCCTCACTCCAGGGGAGGGAGGACCGAGACCAGAGGGTCAGGTACAGGGGTCATGAGGACTGAGGTGGGCACTATGACTTAACCTTATGGGACAAAGCCCCTGAGTGGGAGGTAGAGGAACCCACAGGGAGGGAGCCCAGGGGCTGGCTTGAGGCCCCAGGGCAGCTGTGCAGAGTGGACGAGGAAGCCGCCTGTCTGGGTCACTCCACAGGGAAGGTCTTTGATTTGCAAAGTGGCTGAGAGATGCCACCCTGGAGGCAGGAGCTTGGGATCTGCTCAGTCTCTCTCTGAAGGAAAAGCAAGGTGGTGACCAGCTTTTGGCTCAGTCCCTCCCCAGCCCTGTCCCCACCTGCCAGGGCTGTGACCCCAAGGAAGCCTGTTGCCCCCCACCCCGGCCGTCTCCCAGGGGACCCTCCTAGCTGGCCTGTGGCAGGAAGGACCCAGCAGCATTTTCTCACCCCCTGTGTCCCCACCGGGTCTCTCAGCTCCAGTGGGAGCAGAGCTGGGGGCCAGGGGCGGGATGGAGGGAGTTCCCAGAGACTGCCTGCTCCTCCAGCAGAGGGGTTAATGATATCAGAAATCTCCTTCTGTTTAAACTGAAGAGGAGGAAGGGGGGCAGCAGCTCCTATGGCCTAGCCCCCCCAGCTGGGTTTACGTGGAGGCAATTAAGGAGGCACTGTCCAGGGGCCTGGGTGCTTGTTAGGGAAGTGGGCCCAACAGCAATCACAGCTGTGAGC